TCAAACCAGCCAACTCCTACAGAAATGATATTGGTAACAACAATCAAAAGGGTCCGCTATTAAAGATACAGAACACAGAAATTCAACCCCAAAAAAAAATCACAGGAACTGAGAAAACTGACCATTAACTGATCAACACCGAAACCAAGAGGACCCATGAGTAGCTCGTCGATTTCTGTTGCTTCTTTCTGTGTCAAGTATGATACGGTTTCTGGGTTTTGCGCCATCTTCTTCCCTACTTCTCTATTCCAGAGATCAAACGATCCAAGTACCAGTTTTGCAGGCAGGCGGTGACAGTTCTTCTGGAATGCAGTGCAGTAAATATATAAAATATACGATCGCGGGCTTTAAAAATAGAGAGAATTGCAGTTTTGGTCCCAATGTTTAGGATATGAGCACTTTTAGCTCTAAAAGTTTGAAAAAAAAGAAAACAAATCTAATTCCAAACATTTCAATTTAAGTATATTTAGTTTTATTGACTGATTTTAACCCATTGCTGTATCGCATGCTATTATGTAACTTGAAATAAATATTGTTGGTCATAATTTGTAGTAAAAAAAGAACTAATTACTTACATGCCGATCACGTGAGTAATTAGTCTTAGCTCAGAGATACAAAAGTTCAATTAATTTAAAAAATTTAAGTTAAAGACTAATTATTTGCATAACCAGCATATGAGTAATTAGTCCTTTTTTTTTATTGTAGTTTAGGGTTAGCAATTTTTTTTTTATCAAATTACTTGTTGGCACACGACTAGATTCCCATAGTAATTGGTAAAAAAAAAAAAGTCAATTATTATGACTAAATATGCATAAAAATTGAAATATTAAAACTAAATTTAGGCCATTTAAGAACTTTAAGAACTGAAGGCACTCACTATTCTAACCATTTAGGCCAAAACGGTAATTCTCTCTTTAAGAATAAATTGGCAAATGAAGCAAGATGGGATTTTTGACCAATTTAGAATACTGCCCAAGGACTTCAATTGACATTGGGCTGAGTTTAGAATTAACAATTATTATGAGTTTGGACCAAACTATAAGTTCAGCGCTATAGGCTGGCTGGTTTTGAGCTCATTAGTCATTACTGCAATAGCTTACTTTTTTTTTTTTTTTTTTGTCAATCACAGAGGGTATCTGGGCCATGGACTGGTAATACCGTACGCCCCAATTAATCTCACTACGTGGCCGGGGGAGGCTGCCCAACATCACCGACCTAGCTTACTTGAAATTGTATTTATTGACTGTTTCCTATTAGAAAATTTTGGGCGAAAATAGGTCAAACTTCTTCAGTAGAAGAAGAAGGAAATTACTTCGTCAGTAAGAACATTAGCAAATTGGGCCACAAAAAAAAAAGGAAAAAAAAAATTCATAATCAGTGTTATTTTATCAATGGTAAATTGAGACCTAAAAGCTGTGACGGTGGGCGTTTGGAGATTCAACGAGGCAGGAGAGAATGTGGGGTGGGGGCCCCCTACCTCCTTCCCCACTTATAATTTTAATATCATATATATGAAATATAAAATACATAATACCAGTGACGGACCCAGGATTTTTTTTTTTTGGGGGCCAAAATTGAAATTCCATTCAAAGATGACTAATTCATATATATATATATATCAACTCTCATAATATAAACTAAAATTGAAAAAATTTAGGGGGGGCCAATTTTATTTTACACACATATTTACATATTATGAATTAAAATTCTCAAAACTTAGGGGGGGCCATGGCCCCCCTCTGTCCCCCCTTGGCTCCGTCATTGCATAATACTATAATATAATTAGGATAATTTTTTATTCGTTGTCAATGTATACACGAGCGGGTATAGATGTATGTCACGTAATTCAATTTCAAATTTAAAATTCACTTTTTGCATAGATGACATACACTTTATACCTGTTAGTATAAAACATCCTCTAGTCTACACTGACATTGTATAAAAACTTAATCCATAAATTATATACATGAAATATGATATTTCCTTATGATAAAATAATATAATTTTTCTTGTCAATGTTTGTGATTAAGTGATAATTTTGTTATGTTAGTTTACTTTTTTATTTGTTATAACATTTAGTTTATAAACAATAATGATAATTGATTTAGATTTTATGAAATATCAAATATAGCGAAACGAGTTCAAAAGATCAAAATTATTTGCAAACTTTATATCACATAAAATTTTTTGCTAAAACTTCAAAAGAATTAGTAAATTCATTATCATTGTTATACATAGGAATGCAATCAAGTCAACCCGCTCGCGAGTAGCTTGGTCAAAAGCTTTGACCGAGCTCGATCTCGAGCTACGCGTTACATTCAACGAGTCGAGTTCGAGCTCCAAAAATAAATACTCGAGTGCTCGACGAGTTTAATCGAGTTTTCATATTATATTTATATTATATATTTTGAGAAAAAATTTATAGGTTTAGTTCAAAACTCGAGCTCGAGTAGATCGGGCTTGATATTTACTCGAGTTCAAACGAGTCAAGGTCGAGTCCAAATTTATTTACTCGTTTGAGCTCGAACTCGAGCTCGAGTAGCACTGATTGTGATCAAGTTTGAGCTCGAGTATGGTACTACTCGAGGTCGACTTGGCTCGATAACACCCCTAGTTATACATATATAAAAATAAAAAATAGTAGCAGGACAAGACTGGGGCATTCGTGAGGGTTCAAGAATTCTGCATTTAAAAATAAAAATTTCATATATCGAGGTCGACTTGGCTCGATAACACCCCTAGTTATACATATATAAAAATAAAAAACAGTAGCAGGACAAGACTGGGGCATTCGTGAGGGTTCAAGAATTCTGCATTTAAAAATAAAAATTTCATGATACAACCATGAATATATGAAGGGAGCTAAATATCATTGGCACTATTATGAATCCAAAACGATGAAAATTCTTGTCATTATTTTTGAAATTTAGAGTATGATTCAATAATTTGTTCTTGAATTCTACTTTTGGGTACCTATCAGCACCATGTCTTAAGCTGTGATAGAGAAAATGGCTTGATTAGCTCGGCTTGGAATAGGATCTAATTTTTGTGCACTCTCTCTTCTATTGAGAGGTTTTGTTAAGAAAAGAAGAGAATGGAACAAAGAGGGAAGAGAGGGAAGAATCATAACTATCAAATATTCCAAGTAGTAAAGACCTTGTAGATGGCCTTACCTGAAAAAGTGTAAGGTGGAAAAGCTAGTGAAAAAAATGCCGCAAAGTGGGATCATTCAGCTTTGTAATTTTTTTTTTTTTTTTGGGTTTCTAGTCAAGAAAATGGATGATGATTAGAGCATCTGTGTTGACTGTAAACAGTTGAATGATCTTACTTGGAAGGATTGGCCCCAATATCACTTGTCAATGAGCTATTTGATGAACTCTATTGTTCTCAATATTTTAGCAGAAGCAATCTCAAGGCAGGAACCAACTCCTCCTAGAGTTCTTGGCCACTAAGAGAGTTCACTAAGAGAGTTTTAAAACTCTATTTGAATGTGCATTTTAATATCCAGAATTTCCTGAAAATGTTTTGCTAGCGAATGAGTAAGCACCTATCTAAACCGGTGGTAATTCACCGAATTTCCCTTGACCTCTTTAGATTCCCTCCCCCTAGTATAGAGTAGGAATAGTTATAATATAAAATCTATCATATAAAAAAAAAAAAAAAAAGTCTCAAGGCAGGTAACATCAGATCAGTGTGAAAGTCCCAGGGTAGCCCAACCTTTAACACTCATTATGGGCTATATGAATTTAGAGTCATGATATTTGGACTGACATATGCCTCAGCAGCACTTCAGTGTGATAAATAAGATATTTAAAGATCAATGGAGAAGGTTTATTGTGGTATTTTATGATGATATATTAGTGTACAGTTGCTCTCTTGAAGTTCATAAGAAGCATATTGAAGAGGTATTAAGTAGGATGAGGCAGCACCAGTTGTGTACAAAGAGAAGAAGGTGTGATCATTTGCCCAAACTTAGGTGAATATCTCAGCACATAATCTCTAAAACAGAAGTTAAAATTGAAATTGATTCCATAAAGATTGAAAACAGGTTGCATTGGCCTAGACATGAAAAGATTCTTCGAGTTTTCAAAATTATACTTGCCTCCTTTAGTTTGAGGTTTTCATAATACATAGTTAATTTAATTCAATGCTTAAAATAAATTGTTAAAATAAATTGATTTAGACCTTAATATGTTGGGACGTCTGATAACAAAAAATAGAACGTTTTAGTTAATTAAGTGGTTATGAATTGTTTAGGCAAAACTTACTCAAAACACTAAGTGATACGCTGTTCCTTTTTCACTCAATGCAGAATACTCTCAAATGTTAAAATTTCAATACTTAACAATTTAGTGACTTAACAGATTCAAATTTCAGATTTCAGATTGCATCCTTAATTACTCAATAATCCTATGTAGAAATGACTTTTATGAAGTAGTTACACACCACAAGAAGCAAATGTAAGCATAATGAATAAGTCCTCACACCATTAATCTCCCTAAGTTTGCCTGCGCAGTCTCTAACCATTGCATTTTGTGAGTTCAATTACACTTCTTTGAGGTGCAATTGAAAATTGACTGGAGCATTCATTTTCTGCAAAAAAATTCCATTGCTGATGGTAGCCAAGTAAAACTTTATGTATTTATAAAGTTTAAAATTTGAGATAATTGAAGAGTAACTAATGTCTACATTCAATTGATATCTCCAACTAGGTACCAAAGAGAAAAAAGGAGAATAAAGAAATTTACTTGTTTCCAAAGAGAGCCGAAAAGAAAATAATCTCACGAGAAATTTGCTTTGGACAAAGAGATGCCAGAAACATACTTTTCTTCTTTAATGTGACAAGTAAAATCCCCTTTCTGACTTTCTCTTCTCCTTGGTGAAATTTCTTCAACCATTGCAAACTCAAGTAATCAAGGAAGATTACTCGGTTCACCTTGCAATATATGCTCTTTGATTTAGGTTTTTAGATTTGTAGTCAAGTATCACAACATAACCAATAGGGTGAAAAGAATATCACGCAAGAAACATGAAATTAGCAGCAGAAATAACATGGAAAATGCAATTCTCATCATTCAACTACTAGGTTGGTCAAAATGAAACCCGCCAAACACTCGGTCCATATTGTAGCAACAACCAGCTTATTCCCCTTTCATTCCTTTTATAAGGCCTAAAATTCAACTCACCTCCATCAAATACCAACATTCAACACTAATTTACCAAAAAGTTTCGGTTCCTGGTATAGTTTACCTCTACACAAATGGCTTCAGGCTCACTGGCAATCTTGTTTTGCTGCACTCTTTCTCCCCTCTTACTCATATCCTCTGCTCAAACATGTTCAAGCTTCACTTTCACATCTAAGAGAAGCTACACGTCTTGCATGGACCTTCCATACCTGGAAGCTCATCTCCACTGGAATTACACCCCATCAACTGGAAAGATTTCATTAGCATACAGGGCCAAACAAAGGTCACAGGGGTGGATTGCATGGGCAATTAACCCTTCTAGGGCAGGCATGGTTGGATCACAAGCACTTGTAGCTTTCCGCAACACAAATGGCAGCATGACAGCTTATCCGACATCAATAACCAGTTACAGTCCTTCACTGCTGCCAGGCAGCCTCAGCTTCCACGTTTCAAACATCTCCGCAGAATATTTAGACAATGAGATGACCATATTTGCAGTTTTGGGGCCACTAGAAGATGTAACAACTGTGTATCATGTCTGGCAAGCTGGAAGTACAGTTTTAAACAACATTCCTCAGAGTCATCCATTATCACCCCCAAATCTCCAATCAACTGGGACACTTAGTTTGCTATCGAAAAAGTAGGATTAAGCTGTGTCATGATGCATGACTGCCGTCAAATAGAGCTTGCAAGTATCAGAGTGGTTACTCCTTCCAAGTTGTATTAATTTAAAGTCATAACTATCTGTATCACAGTTCATGAAATTACTCTATATCTAGCCATGATTGATCTGCAGTGAATGAATAAAACCTTCATTGTCAAAAATAGTCTATCATGCATATGCAATATTGCATTTTTTTTCTACCTTAACAACATTTTCAACCCCTCCCCCCCCCCCCCCCAAAAAAAAAACCAAAAAATAGGTAATGCAAAGAAAAAGGAAAAAGAACTCATGAAAACCTGAGAGTTGTTCTGGAGCCACTTCAAGCAACATGATCCTATAACTCAGTTGTAATGGGATAACTAATCCTCAGGAACACTAGGGCAGAGGGGAATAGAAGAATTTTTTCTATTACAATAAGAATCACAACAGAAAGAGGTGCCGGAAGGCTACAAATGTGTAATCATATTACCAGTTAACCGATGAAGCTCCTCACACTTTGACTCTGTTATTGGTAGCTCGAAGGTTACCTGTAAAATATAACAAGAAAGCCAGAACATGATATATAAAACAAAGGAAAGATAAATTTCAACTCAGAGCTATCTCTCTCTCTTCCCGCCCCCCCCCCCCCCCCCCAAAAAAAACAAAGCACAGTGTGGTTCTGCCAAATCATCTAATAAAGTCTAAAGTTATCCAAGGAACACAAAAGTTATATTGAATAATTGACTTCAGACAGTCTCTACTGCATCAATATTAAGCCTGCCAGTTTATGATGCAAGCAATTACATTTTAGTACAGAAGGGTCATATACAAAGGCATATGGTAAGGGCAAATGAGCAATTGCTTATGCAGCACGAAGTTGTAGTATGTTTCACTTATGCATTAAAGTCTGCCCTGTTCACCAAGGTGCAATTTTGAATCTGGGAGTGTTATAACTAGGTCACAATTTTGGATAATGCAAATTTTGGATAATGCATTTGTTGAATATATCTAGATATGTGTGATATATTATACATCAATTATAGGGATTAGATAGCCTGATTATTAGCCTGATTATCCTAGTTTAATTATAGGAAGTAGATAGCTAATTATTCTAGCTTGATTTTAGGATCTTGATAGCTTGATTTTAGGATCTAGATTATTTCAATCTTGTATATATATGTCAGTTGTACTACTCACAAAGAGTGTGAAGGAATGTTATCCCAAAATATCTTCCTCTCTTGCTTCTTCTCTTTCATGGTATCAGAGCAAGTGAGAAAAAGAAATTTGTTTTCTAATCATCCCACCCGGTGATTTTACCCGGTGATTTTCTTTAACCCAATATCATTATGTCTACATCCGATACATCTATAACGTCTACATCTAAATCCACAACTCCTCTCATGGCCAATCCATCTATTACTGGTTCTACTATTATTACTACCGAAAAACTAAAAGGCAGTAACTACTCTACTTGGGCTGCTGACGTTGAGCTATGGTTTATGGGACAAGGATATAAAGATCATCTTACTACTAAACCTGATGATACTATGACTGATCCATCCAAGTGGGAGCGAATCGATGCTCAATTGTGTAGCATGCTTTGGCAGACCATTGATTCTTCACTAAAGCAAATTTTCCGTCCACATAAGACTTGCTTTAGTGTTTGGGAGCAGGCCAAAGCATTATACACTAATGATATATCTCGTGTTTATGTCGTTTGTTCTGATTTGATGAGTCTCATTGCACCTCAAAAACTTGATATGCCTATGAGTTCTTACTTAGGCAGAATTCAAGGGGTCCTTTCCGATTTCAATGAGTTGCTACCCCCTGCTGCAACTCAGCAGGAACAACTCTCTCAGCGAGGTACATTTTTTATGCTTTTGGCTCTCTTTGGATTACCTGCAGAATATTCCACCATTCGTGATCAGATTCTTGCTAGCCCCACAATTCCTACTTTGTCTCAAGCTTTTTCACGGCTGTTACGGCTCCCGGATGAATCAAAACCATCTTCGGAGACTATCGTTGTTGATTCATCAGCTTTGGCATCTCAATCCAACCAAAGAGGAGGTCGTGGACGTGGCCGTGGTCGAGGTGGTTATAATGGTAACAAAAATCGACCCTACTGTGACTATTGTAAAAAGGTTGGCCACACAGAAGATCGGTGTTGGCTCTTGCATGGACGTCCTCCCCAACAAGTGGCGAATATTGTTCAATCCGAACCTTGCGCAAGTTCAGAACCAACTCTCAAGCCCGAGTATGAAGATTTTGTGAAATGGTTTACAGCCAAACAGTCTTCCACACCTACTGCCTCAGTTGTACACACTAGTAATGTTAGCGCATGTGTCTCTCAATCTCCATCTCTTGGCCCATGGGTTTTAGATTCTGCTGCCACAGATCATATTTCTGGTAATCCACAACTTTTCTCTTCACTCCATAGTTCTACTTCTCTACCCAATATTACTCTTGCTGATGGCTCACAAACCCAAGCTAAAGGGATTGGCAAGGCTAACCCTCTACCTTCTGTGCCTCTCGATTCTGTTCTTTTTATACCCAATTGTCCTTTTAGTTTAGTATCTGTTCGTCGTTTGTGTCGTTCTCTTAACTGCTTAGTTACATTTGATGAGGAATCTGTAATTTTACAGGATCGAGGTACGGGGCGGACGATTGGCACAGGGCGTGAGTCTCAGGGACTTTACCATCTGTCTTTACCAACACCAGTATCTTGTTCTGCCGTAGATGATCCTCTGCTAATCCATAGTCGTTTGGGTCATCCAAGTTTAAATAAGTTTCGAAAGATGGTGCCATCTATTACTATGTCTTCCTTAGAGTGTGCATCATGTCAGCTTGGAAAACACACTCGTAGTCATTTTCCGAAAAGGGCTAATAGTAGAGCTGAATCTCTATTTTCTTTGGTCCATACTGATATTTGGGGACCGAGTCGTGTTATTTCTACTTTAGGTTTTCAGTATTTTGTCACTTTCATTGATGATTATTCTCGTTGTACTTGGGTGTTTCTTATGAAGAATAGATCTGAAGTGTTTTCTATTTTTCAAAGTTTTGTCTCTGAAATTCAAACACAATTTGGTGTTTCCATAAAAATCTTACGTAGTGATAATGCACATGAGTATTTCTCCACCTCTTTCAAGTCCTTTATGGAGTCTAAAGGGATCATTCATCAATCATCATGTTCTCACACCTCACAACAAAACGGGATTGCTGAAAGGAAAAATAGACATTTGGTTGAAACGGCACGTACTTTACTTCTTCATGCAAATGTTCCATTACGTTTTTGGGGGGATGCCATTCTCACTGCATGTTATTTGATTAATCGCATGCCATCATCTGTCCTTAAGGATAAAGTTCCTTACTCTTTTGTATATCCTAATGCTCCACTATTTTCTATTTCCCCTCGTACATTTGGTTGTACATGTTTTGTACATGATTTCACTCCTGGAAAAGATAAGCTGTCTTCACGTGCTGTCAAATGTGTATTTTTGGGGTACTCTCGAACACAAAAAGGGTATAAATGTTTTTCTCCTGATCTTAGACGATACATCATCTCTGCAGATGTTACGTTCTTTGAGTCTACTCCTTTCTTTCAGCTTAACAAGTCTGAGCATTCTACAATCACGGAGGATATTCCTGTTTCTACTTATTTTGTTCCTCTTACTCATGACACTGACATTAGTCAGCCTCCTAAAGAGTCCTTACCTTCACCCGCATCACCACCATTGCTCACTTACCAGAGACGCAATGTAAGGAATTGTCCTACTACAGTTCCAGATAATGGTGTTGGAGAATCTGCTGATGTCCCTGATGCCTCCCGAACTATTCCAAGTTCGTCACCTACCACGATCTCCTCTCCAGCCAGCCCACCCATTGCTGTCCGCAAAGGTATTCGTTCTACTCGCAATCAATGTCCCAACTATACTTGTCTCAATTATCAGCGCGTCTTCATCCTATTATGCCTTTTTGTCCTCTTTGTCGTCCATGTCTGTTCCTAAAACTATAGGTGAGGCTATGTCCCACTCTGGGTGGCGTCAGGCAATGATAGATGAAATGGCTGCTCTTCACTCCAATTCCACTTGGGAGCTGGTCCCACTCCCACCTGGTAAATCAACTGTTGGTTGTCGTTGGATTTATACTGTTAAAGTTGGTCCGGATGGTCAAATTGATCGTCTTAAAGCTCGTCTAGTAGCTAAGGGTTATACTCAAATTTTTGGTCTGGATTATACTGATACCTTTTCTCCAGTGGCCAAGATGTCTTCTGTTCGTCTCATCTTATCTCTTTCTGCTGTTCATCATTGGCCTTTGCACCAATTAGACATCAAGAATGCATTCCTTCATGGTGCATTGCAGGAGGAAGTTTATATGGATCAACCACCTAGTTTTGTTATTCAGGGGAAGTCTAGTGGAATGGTTTGTCGACTAAAACGTGCACTCTATGGTCTCAAACAATCTCCTCGAGCCTGGTTTGGACGCTTTCGTGATGTTGTCCAAAAATATGGCATGATCCGTAGTGAGGCTGATCATTCAGTGTTTTATCGTCATTCTCCATCAAAAGGCAGCATTTATCTTGTCGTTTATGTCGATGATATTATTATCACTGGACAGGATCATGAAGGAATTGCTCAGTTAAAGAACCACCTTTTTGGCCATTTCCAGACGAAAGATTTGGGCAAGCTTCGTTATTTCTTGGGTATCGAAGTTGCCCAATCCAAAGAAGGTGTTGTTATTTGCCAACGAAAATATGCATTGGACATTTTGGAGGAGGCAGGCATGTCAAATGCTAAGCCTGTCGAAACTCCAATGGATCCCAATATTAAATTATTTCCAGGACAGGGGGAGCCACTTAAGGATCCTGGAAAGTATCGTAGGCTTGTGGGACGGTTGAACTATCTTACAGTAACACGTCCTGACATATCTTTTTCTGTCTCAGTGATCAGTCAGTTTTTAGATTCCCCGTGTGATACTCATTGGAATGCAGCTCTCCGCATTCTCAAATATATCAAAGGAGCACCTGGCCAAGGATTGTTGTATACTGATAAAAGAAACATGCAAGTAATTGGTTACACTGATGCAGATTGGGCAGGATCACCTATTGATCGTCGTTCTACCACAGGCTATTGTATTCTGGTTGGTGGCAACTTAATATCTTGGAAAAGTAAAAAACAAGATGTGGTTGCTAGATCCAGTGCTGAGGCTGAGTATCGAGCCATGGCTATGGCTACATGTGAGCTAATATGGCTTAAACAATTGCTCAATGAGTTGAATTTGGGGACAAGTGACCCAATGAAGTTGATTTGTGATAATCAAGCTGCACTCCACATTGCCTCCAATCCAGTCTTTCATGAGAGGACTAAGCACATTGAAGTTGATTGCCATTTTGTTAGAGAAAAATTGATCTCCAAAGTTATTGAGACGGGTTTCGTTAATTCAAGTGATCAACTTGCAGATTTTCTTACCAAGTCCCTAAGAGGTCCTCGTATAGAATATATATGTGGCAAGCTTGGTGCATATGATTTGTATGCTCCAGCTTGAGGGGGAGTGTTGAATATATCTAGATATGTGTGATATATTATACATCAATTATAGGGATTAGATAGCCTGATTATTAGCCTGATTATCCTAGTTTAATTATAGGAAGTAGATAGCTAATTATTCTAGCTTGATTTTAGGATCTTGATAGCTTGATTTTAGGATCTAGATTATTTCAATCTTGTATATATATGTCAGTTGTACTACTCACAAAGAGTGTGAAGGAATGTTATCCCAAAATATCTTCCTCTCTTGCTTCTTCTCTTTCAGCATTAAAGTCTAGCCTGTTCTCTAAGTTGCATTTTTGAATGGACACATAACAGCTATGAACAAAGGATAAACAGTCTTGCCAGAAAAATTCAATCTGACTCACCTCTTGGAAGATTTCACTATGAGAAGTCTTCTCAAAGCCCTGCATGAAAATCACAGTACTTGGTCAACTTTCTAATTAGCAAAGATGTCTAAGAAAAATTAAATTGTATGTATATGGTAAATAAGCCTTTTACACTGTAAAGGGAGGGAGAAAGAAGAGCATTGCAGGCAGTAAAGCTTCCTCATTTCAACCTGAAGTTTAAACTGATGATTTCTATTTCTTTTGCATTTAACATTACCAAAATAATAGTTTGCCATTAAGTGGATGTTACACTAGTATATGCTGTAATTGTTTTGGTAACTCGTTATCGCTTTCCTTTCAGGGCAAGAAAGCTAATGGATTCTACCTCCTCTTTTTTTGCTCGGAGTAAAGGATTCACCCCTCTTTGGCACACAGGATATACCTTGTAGATAAGGAAAGGCAAACCATCCGTGTCTTGGCCCTGTGTCCATGGGCACATCCACTTTAAACTTTAGATTGCATAACGCCCCTAGCTTTATATGCACCTCATTTCAACCTGAAGTTTAAACTGATGATTTCTATTTCTTTTGCATTTAACATTACCAAAATAATAGTTTGCCATTAAGTGGATGTTACACTAGTACATGCTGTAATTGTTTTGGTAACTCGTTCTTGCTTTCCTTTCAGGGCAAGAAAGCTAATGGATTCTACCCCCTCTTTTTTTGCTCGGAGTAAAGGATTCACCCCTCTTTGGCACACAGGATATACCTTCTAGATAAGGAAAGGCAAACCATCCGTGTCTTGGCCCTGTGTCCATGGGCACATCCACTTTAAACTTTAGATTGCATAACGCCCCTAGCTTTACATGCACATAGATGTACCTTGTGGGAGACAAAAAAAAATTTTTTTGGAGGGGGGGGGGGGAGGGGAAGGAAGAGAGAGAGAGAGAGACCAGTTTCTGGAATAGACTTATAGAAGCTCTATTTGAGTCCCCAATTTTAGCACGAAATAAATGGATGCCAAAATTCTCAACTGCAAATGCCATCATCATGAGAACTGATTCTTTCCCAAGCCCTTTGCCACGACTGCTTTTTGCAAGACACGAAAAAGAGAGACAAGGCATTGTGTTAACAAGACTTGATATGGCAAAGAATTATGCACACAAGAATGACACTATCATAGGCCTTGCCACTTTACCCGTCATGCTGTTAGTGGGAATTCACTACCGGTGATGCAAGTAGGATGCTCAAAGAAATTGCCAAATGAAAACTTTATGTTCACAAACAGAGATGCAGATATCATTTCAGAAGACTAAATAAAAGTTTACAAACATTAGGAAGAAAGAACATTCTAAGAACGTTGCCTTCTCAGCTTAAAGCACGAATGGGAAAGATAAATTATTAGCTAATGGCAAACGAGATACATAAGAGAACCAACAAAATTGACCAGCACAAGACACAAATAACAATAAGAAGCTTCAGAGATTATGAGTCATTACAAACTGCAAAGCTCCCCACCCTCAGTGTGATGTTTACCTTCCAGCATTAAAGTTTGATAAAGAAAGGTGATTTATAAAAAAAATAAAAAGAAAATCTTTTCATTCCAGAAATAAACAAATCCATGTAAGAATCTGACAGATTGGAATGATTTAATCCCTAAATGCAAGGAGCAACTAAATATTGCAAGTTTCTATATTAGGTTCTGCAATGCCATCACTGAGCAGGGCCAGGGCCAAAGCAGCTTATTTCATCTTGAGGTAGTGAATAAGCCCGATAAAACAAACTGAGCCAATGTGTTAAGTCTGTTTATAAGGGTAGAAAGATAGATGAAATACCATAGAGAGTTCTCACAATTGTGCAATTAATCACTATGATCTGGTGTTCCACAACCATTACAACCGTGAGTACAAAAGTTTCTAAAAACCTTTCTTCTCTTTCAGAAATCAGAAGTTGTCAATCCCTGAGTATTGTCCAGAAAACCATTACCTTGGACTATATTACTTAAACCAACAGCTACATTTCTGGGGTTTTTAAGTTGTTCATCTTAAGCAAATAGATTTTGGATAAAATTTAAAGAAGGATTACTGACTCAAACATAATGACAAGAAGTCATAGACTTACCAACTTATGCAAACTGGAGTTGTTAATTACTTTGCACCAAAATTTGAAGTTTTCCTTACATAAATTTGACATCTATCTTGACCTACAGCAAGTACAGTGCTAAACTATTGCACCTCTTGATAAGTTAAGTTGATATGGAATGTTAAAAAAAAAAAATGGTTAATGTGCAATCTGAAGATTACGGAGCAATGTCAACAACTAATGCAGAGTCATCTGATGGGAAATCCTTTAAGATTCAATTTATGTGCAATACAAATACAAGTCACTATTTTGGTTTGATTCTTGATTCATGAGTTTCCCCGATTCCTAGTTGGTAAATTGGCTTACCTCATATTCAAGTGAGACAGACAACTCCTTTGAGGAAATCAACACGGACAGAAAACTTCAACACTAGTTCTTACTTGTTCAAAGTGTTTCATGAATATGCATATGAGAAGAAAAAAGTGAAAGACAAAGACTCTTGTAAAATTTTCAGTTTTTAAAACAGATCGTAGTAGGTTTAAGTAGATGGCAGACGAATCCCTACAAAGTCATTACTGCCTAGACAGTAATGTATAAAAGGGTGAGTTGGTAAGTAAAAATCTGCAGTAATAATACATAAAAATAGGGTCAGAAAGTTGGTTCCTAGAGAAGGAGGCCAGTCAGATATTATCAACCAATATGGAGGAGATATCAGTGCCACTGTACAGCCCAACCATCTTGTTTGGACTAAGCCTTGTAATCTTCTTCCACGAGAGTAACAACAAAAGCAGTGTTCCCAGTATGGAAAATAATTTCTTGTTTTAAAAAGATTTCATAGCAGTCATGTTGATGATAGGAGCATGGACCAGACTCTGATTGGCCTTTTAGGACCAAAATTCAACTTGCTCCTGTGGATTAGTAAAAGTATTATATATGTTTTCTTGACATTAGCTCTATATCCTTAACATCAAACATCACTTTGGATGGAACAGAATAGAAGAGGATTCATCTGAGGTTGAGATGATTAAGCTCTAGTTTCTAGAGGATATTATGTCCAAATTTGGGGTATGAAAGCATTAAAGCTCTCTTGCCTTAGTTCACTGATGAGTTTGAGGTGTTCGTATTGATTCATCCCCTGTCTAACTACAAAGATGTAAAGACACAGTACAATCTTAATAATTTAATCACATCAAGTTAGACAATGGCTTACTAGACTGATCCATTTAGTTACCATAAACAATCTGCACATCCATTGTGAAAGAATTATTAGTTGAGTAAAATGTATTAAGAAGAGAATATGCATCAAAAGGTAATCAAATTAAAAAACAGGGCATCCCTCCCAAATTTCCAATAGAGACAACTTGGCCACTGTAATTGCCAAAAGATAAGCTCTAGAGTTGGACAACAACTAGGTATTTCTGGCCGTGTAACATACTACTAAATAAGTCAAATCAGTCAGAGTTTGCCCATGTACATGTAATTTATTAGTTGTAAAAATTGCATTTTGGAGGACACAAAGATCAGAATTTCGACTTTCCCCCCACCCCCCCCCCCCCTCCAAGTTACTAGCTTATGTTATTACTCAAGGCATGATATTAATCAAAATTAAGACCTCTGTTTATTACAAGATTAAGTTGATGCTACAAAAAACCTCAAAGACTGGAAATTTTCATTATAAACTTTAAGAACAACATTAGAATTTACAGAAATTTTAGTCTCTTTTATAAAAATTAAAAAAATGTCCATGTCTTTGGCATTGCATAAAAAGAGTAAAGAGAAATACTGCAAACTTCCCATAATGGTGACAATTAACCCATAGATTAGTGGCCAACACACTGCTTTGTCCAACTTGATAAACACTCTCTCACATGTATGGTAACAAGAAGGGGATTTGGAACATCTAAAGTGCAAAAATGGCAATTTAGCTTGTAAAATAGAATTTGCAGAACATGAAAGATAAGGAACCTTTTTGTCTCAGCTATCATTATCTCAATCTCAGCCATTTCAGCATCATCCAAGTCATTCATGTATATGTTGACATCACCAACCATGGCTGAAGAAAAAAAAGCATTACATCAAAGATTAAAAAAAAAAAAAGAAAGGCATTCCCATAAACGAGAAGAACACAGATCTTCAAGGGTTTCTCCCCAACTCTTCAAGAATTTTCCTACAAACAAACTAAACTAGAACAACTCAAAGCTATTTGCTCATTATGCATATGTCAAACATTTATACTAAATTGTCATCCAGTACCAGAAATTGCTTTTTACTCTCCAAGAAAGAGTTAGCAAGCAAAGACATAAAACTGCAAGTGTCTTTCATATCCAACATCAAAAAGCAATTCAGAAGATTCTCAATGCCATCCAAAGTTTATCCTTCATGCATATTTTCTTGAGAGCAGGAAATGCCAACAATCTTCCAAACAAGAAAATGGCCAGTGATGGATTCAAAATGGAATCAATTGGGGCAATTGCGACCACAAACCCTCATGGCATTTTCCCCAACTAGTTAAAGAAGTAATTTTTAGACTTTCCTAGCTTCTTTTTTTCTTCCCCCAATCTATCGTAGCTTAGATTTTCTTATATAGAATAGTCATGCTCATATAACAAGTGATTCTTCCCTTTCTAACACAAATAAGCTTATCAGCAAAAAAGCACTTAAACAAATTCAAATACTAACAATCAAATAGCCAACCTTCAACATGGGGATCTCCATGAACAAACTCTCCAACAACCAATTCCTTATCCAGGATTATAAAAGTTTGTTCTGCAAAATTCCAAAGTCCCATTTTTTTCAAAACCAGAATTAACTATACTATTCCAAAAAAAAAAAAAAAAAAGAACCCAAAAAAGTTAAAAAGATAGGAAGAAAGAAAGGAGTACTGAAGGGATCCTGGGTCCAAGACAGCTGCATATCATATTCTTCATCAAGAGTGAGGGGCTCAGAAGCTGTGGCCTCAAGAAGGGCTGGGTCTTGCATCCATTCATGGTACTTTTCTACGTGCTCTTTCATGTATGGTACTAAGATTACCTTCTTCCCTTCAAGGCTCACCTTCATTTTCACACAGCAAACACCCTCTGCTGTCTTCTCTGAAACCAAGAGGATCTTGATGTTTTACAGAGGAGGAGGAGGAGGAGGAGAAGCAGGCTCTGAAAACGCTGCCGTTTCTATCCTTTTCGTCGCCATAAAATTTTGAGAAAAATGCAGTTTTGGTCCTCAAATTTTGGCACGAAAACTATTCTAGTCCCCACAGTTTGGGTCAAAGCAAATATGGTCCCTAATGTTTCTAGATTAAAGCACATCTTGGACAATTTTTTTTCAATTGTTATTAGGATGGAGTCATATGACCCTTGTCAGCAGAAATTGTGGTCTTGCATTTTCTTTTAGAGGAGAAGGGAGACAGAAAAAAAGTCGGGATCGAGATTAATTTTGGGATGCCTAAATGTATATCTTTGTATTTTAATAATTTCCCTTTTTTTAGTTACACACGTGTGATTATCCAAGTGATTTTAATCCTTAGTATCCTAATTTATTTGTTTTAATTTTAGGCAAAGGTGACATGACTCCATTCTAATAAAATTTGAAAAATTTGATCACTTGTCCTAAATGTATTTCCAATTTCAAAGATTAAGGACTAGATTTGCTTTAACCCAAATTTTAGGGACTAAAATCACTCCTATACCAAACTTTAGGGACCAAAACTGGGTATTTTCCTTTAATGTTTGGAAAAAGTAGTGCTATAATGGTCCTTATGCTTAATTACACTAAAGTCCTCTTTGATTAGGGTCAATTACACTTTGGCCCACTAAGATTATTTTATCGATATTTTGTCCCCATTCTAGCACTCCAGGTACTTTTTTTTTTTTTTGAAATTTCTATACACTGATAGTGTATGCATTTTCACCATTAATGTATGACACATGATCTAAATTTAAATTTGAAATTCAAATTTTACATGTATGTCGTGAATCCAACCATAATAGTATATAACACTATTAGTGTATAATCTCTTTTTTTTTGGTTAAAAAGTCTAACTTCCATTTATAAGGGTTGTATAAAGAGAAATTTGAATCCAGTGGCGGATTTAAGGTGGGGGCACGCCCCCACTGTCCCTTTGAATTCCTATAGTACCCATAAAATTTTGATATAATTTCAAATGTACCCCCAGAGTTTTCTTATGAAGGAAATAAAAGAATTACATGGTCCTCTAACTTAGTTCATGAACTAATATTCTAAAAGGATATGTGGACCACAAAATTCCATTTGAAGTAAGTTAAAAAAATATTTTTCATTTCAACTTATTGGCGAATATTTTTTTGTTTAAAAACTAAAAAAAGAGTAGGTAAAAAATTTTAGTGTTGCTTTTGCCTCCATTGAGAATTTTTCTGGCTCCGCCACTGTTTGAATCCAAAAGTTTGTTTGAAACTGATCTATATTCAAACCGGTCCATTTGAATGTCCAAATTATCGAAATTTTGGAATGTCAAAAGCCTATAATGGTGGCCTTGGATGGTTCAAGGACATTTTGTGACCATAACAATGTGGAGGTCGAACTTCAGCTTCAAGGGTTGATGAACATCAACCCTTGTGTAAACTGGGCTGGTGGAATGCTACTCGAGAAATATATAGTATTCTAGGAAGAGTTTACATTGTATCTTGTTTGAATGCAGTCATAAGTATGCCCATATTGCAAATAATTGTCTTAAAAAATCTGGTTAAGATGCCATACAGGAACCACAAAGCAGATGATCTGGGTTATATAAGGTCAGGATCCTTTCCATTGGATGTCTCTCCATTAATCTCTCTATTTATTTATATCTAAATTACTATAATTTTTTTTGTAAATCATCTGATTGTGTCATTACTTTTCTTTTGATCTCTAGATTAACATGTTAAAAAATAATATTCAATTGAGAATATTTTGGCATTTAATTTATATGAAACATTTGAACTATGAAAAAATAGACCAAAATTGTAGTAAAATTTGGAACGATTAATCGGACAGCAAACTCAATCAAATTCATACCAAATTTTATGTATAACTAATACTAGTAATGAAATATATTACGAATGATGCTGATTTCTAAAAATAATTTTCAAATTAATTTTATTAGAGCGTAATAGAGAGAAATTCTCTCTATTGCAATGAATACGAGTTTAGTCCCGCTATAATTACAGTAAGGAAGAAGGTTCAATCCTTGGATGCTAGTGAATGAAAGGCATACGCGTGGAGATGGACAGGAGATTATTTAAAATATTATTTGCAATAATTATTGTAGTATTTTTTTGTGATGTGATGTATGTGAGATAAAAAATAATTAAAAAGATACAAAGATGCGTTAGAAATTGTGTTTGTGATGCAAGCAAATAACTTTTGGCCAAATTATTTTTGCCTCGGCAACCCAACAATGGAGCTGCATGGGACTGGAAAATAGGCTCATACTATTTAGAATCCACTTCCTAGACTTGACATTGAAGAGATTAAAGAATCTGAAGAAGCAAGCCATGTCCAGGATATGCAAGAACCTAGAGAATCTCTAAAACTAGAATTAGAAACAATTCCTGCCCCACTTGAATATGTGGTCTTCAAGGGGTCTAAAAAGAAAAAAACTCAGAAGAAGACTAAGCATGTTGGGATTAGAAGAACATTTTGTTGGATTGTAAATTATTTGGGATAATTTTGTGAAAAAAGTACTGTAGCACTTTTTTAATATGATGTATGTGAGATAAAAAGGTGATTGAAAAATGTGTTGATGATGCAAGCAAATCAGTGTGTGTAAATAAGGTGTAAATAAAGTGTAATAACTTACAATCCAAACACAACCCAAAGTAGAGATCCAGATAGTGGTGATAAGAGGGGTTCAAGGCAAAATTTACCATTGTATGAGGTTACAAATACCAGTATAAAGCCAGAGCACCCTTTTGGTTATGGACAATAGAAGGCAAGAAGAAGTGTAGTTGCAATCTTGGGAATGATTCTTTCAACACTTGGAAGTTTGGTGGTTCCAATGGCTCTCATGGGTTTTCAGACCGCTACAGAGAAATTTTCATCTGATTCCAAAGTCCAAATTTTCATATCTCACATAATTCAGTGTTTATTATGCCCTTTTAATTCACCTGTATTTCATTCTTATTTTTTATTTTTTTTCTTCCCATTAGTTCAATAAACAACTAATAGAAAACAAATATACAATAATAAACTAAAGATATGGTGGAGGTGACTGAATCCTTTGGCAAAGAAAAATGTTTGAGACTAGAAGAAAAACTGATTATACTCATTGAATAATTTGATTTAGAACCAAAAAACTATTTAAGGGTGATTTAAGATATTACTATGATTTTTTTTTTCACACGCATCAGGCAAATGAAACCCAAAGCTACTATTCAAGGGAGGTATGGATAATTTTTAAAACATGGAGGGAGTTAGTAATAATTGTCATAAACCTTAAAGGAGGCTTGCAAAATTATCCCATCTTTTTATAAATGATTCTTCGCGAAAATCAACATTGAATGTGTCTTATCAAAAGAACGAGTAATTTTGGTCTACTATTAATCGTCTCTTTTATATATATATATATATATATATATATATATATATATATATATATATATGTATTTCATCTTCTAAGAAAGAAAAGAAACAAGAAACAGCATTGCCCAAAAACAAAACAAAAAAAGCAGCTTTGCCAGATCGTAGCATCTTGTTTTCAAATTTGACCATACATAACCCAGATATCGACTTTTGAGGCTGATATAGCAAATTGATAATTTTCAAAATTCGAGCCAACGTCATAGTCAATGATACAAGGAGTGTGTTTGGATAAAGTATTATTGAAAATATTATTTAAAATAATTACTGTAATATAATATGATGTATATGAGATAAAAAGATGATTGGAAACATAAAAAAGTGAGTTAGAAAATGTATTTATAATACAAACGAAATATTCATTGGAAAAGTTTGCAATCCAAAAAGAGCCATCCACACTTCTACAGTAAATATCTTATATTGAGACAAGAAGCCATTATGGGCTTCTCACAGGATTCTTTTCAAGATATGTGATTCAATATGTTTCACAATTTCATTTCATACCAATAAGGGATTGGAAAAGGGATTCAAACTTCAATGATGCTGCTAGACCGGATATCAGCATAGCCACACGTACAACTTGCTACAGAATTTGAGGGTTATTCCGGAGTTTTGAGGTCTCAGAAAGTTGAAGATTAGCGCATAAGGGGAAAAAAAAAATTCATGAACATGGAGTACTAGGTGATCAACAGAGGTGCATGGTTTCTTCTTAGGAGAAATCCTATGCCTTCTCAGTATCAAGTCTACAACACTAGGACCATATACAAGCTGAAGCATAGACATTCAACCCTTGGCATTTCATTTACACCAACCTGCCCCCACCTAATTGTGCAAAAAACACCCACAAAACAGGAGGGGGCTAAAGAAATTTAAACCCTGAATCACTTGAGGTAGACTGAAGTGCATGGATTCTTGCTCGAATCCTTCAATTTTGCCGTTGCTTTGTAAGAATAGATTATCTGTAACGTCTAACTCTAGATGATATACAAAATCCTGTTGCAGGAGAGAGCTAGGTAGAGATTCATTTCCATGACATCATTTACCTGGAAATGCGTTAATGTGACTGTTGGGTACCCTGAGGAGGTAAGTTTGTTCTGAAAGAGGGCCACGAAGTTCCAAAAGTGGATGGATTGGTCTGAACAGAATGAAGTCTCAATGAAGCAGGGAAAAGCTGGTTACTTGAACTCGAAGAATATGGTCCAGCATGATAAGATGGAGCTTGAGTCTGCCATGTTCCATTCCAACCTCCAGCATTAGGTTGCTGAGTACCTCCCCAGCCAGTGTTTGGCAATATTCTCCAATGTTCCAGATGTTTTTGTGCCTGTTCCATCTCAAAATGTGGAAGTTGCTGTCCTGCCACCCAATTTGCAGATGACGTTCCTCCCCAACTGCCAGGAAGAGTTCCACTCCAACCATCACTATACCGCATCTTTTTGGTCAGGGTGGAATCAGCAGGACTCTCATGCTCTCTCTTTTGGCAACGTATGTTATTTTGGGCCCCTTTTGCCTGGGCCGATTGAGTATTAGAAGGAGGCAGCACTCTGTTTGTGT